TCAACCTTGTGGCCACCACAGCGGAAACAACCAGTCCTCCTCTCTTCCCCCGATTTATCGCAGAATACCGATGCACACACTCTAGAAAATTAACCCACCATATCACAAAATTTCCCACCCTGTCCGGGTGAGCCATCACCCCTCTAATTTTGACTCTATTTTCCTTCTCAATAGGCTTATTTCCCTCCTCTCCCTCTCCATTCCCCCGCGGGAGAAAAGATAGAGCCCTGGCGTCGGGGAGGCGCTGCGCTCTTATCAACCCACTCCTACACGGTCGGTCTCCCGGGGGAGGGTGGTAGGGTTATCAATCTTCCCCCAAAGTATCGTTACCTAATATCTCATTATACCCAGCCTGCCTGTATCCGGTAACTGCATCCGCACAGCGAGAAAGGGCGGATTGGAAAATGCGTGAAAATGCATGTGTTGTTGACCGCACTCCTCTGTTTTCGCTCTGCTGCACGTTTCTGAGTTTTCCCGAGCGGGAAGCCGGGACGAAGGGTGTCGTCAGTGCTGGCCAATCACACGCCGCGCAGCCGGCACACGTTGCGCAGCGCCTCCCTGTCAGTGGCTCGGAACAAGCAACCCTCCTTGGCGAGTTTCCCCAGTGGCGGCTGCAGACCTCAGAACTCAGTTCCGTCATTCCACTGTATTGAAACCACCCCAGGGTTGCTCCGCTAGCCTATTGGGGAACCGCTGGGTCCCCCCCGTGCGCGCGCTGTGCGGCTTACTAACCCTCAGCCGTGTCTCCCGTTTGGGACATACGAAGCCCTAAGGCAGCGCAGGGTTCCCAGCCGGGGTTTGGCCGATCATCGCCGACAACCAGACGCACCCCCCCAAACGCGGGCGGCAGGCAGGCAGTGATGGAAAGGGGCCTGCGCATCGCTCATGACGACGACACAGTTGGCCAGTTAGATGCTATGCATGCCGGCGAGCCCTAATACCGTGAGGAACCCCCCCTGTCTGTGACGACTGCTGTCCAATGCCAGACGCTCCGGTGGCTGGGGAGTCTTGGTCAACTTCCACACCGTATGACGTACGCAGCTGGAAACGGAAGAGCTGCACACGATCAGCGCCATATATAGAGTGAAGGGTGGGGGGACAATGAGGATGAGTCTCACCGTCTGCATAGTTCCCCGGCACGAACACATGTATACATATCTCACCCAGTAATTCCGCCGGGGGATCTCAGATGGGGTCCAGAGTCCGCGGGTCAGATTTACGTTTCTGGGGGGGGGGAAAAGAGTGCCGCATACAATAATCATACAGATATCCCTGCCTGCATTGACTCTGTCAGGCAGAACACACCAAGGATGTCTGCATTTCTCATATATATATATATATATATAGATATAGATATAGATAGATAGATAGATAGATAGATACATTCCGCGGAAGAACCTACGTTGCGTTGAATCTGGCAAGCTGACAAACAAGACAGACACCCGCCACTTTCCCCTTTTCTTTCTCCTTTTCTTGAAGCACCCAAAATATGAATATATATGTATATGCACTGCACTGCACTTCACTGCACTGCATTGAACAGTCCATGGAATAGAGCAGCAGTGTAGCAATGCTGTTACTCTGCAAGTCCGGCTGGAAACGCTGGGCATGACGAAGCAGGGACGCGTACGAGCCTCCATCATCGCGCATTACCACGTAGTTACCCAGACGGGCGGTGACAGACCACATGCGCAGGTCGATAACCTCGAACATGGCGAGCTCTGGTGTGGATCGGACGTGTGTCGAATTATCCGGATAGACGATCTGGCGAAACGTGCAGGCGTTGCGTAGACACCCATAAACTGCACGATGTAGTAGTTACAGAACCACCTGCGTATCCCATCATCGATATACATATATCTATGCCGATCCATGCCTTACCCTGGATGTGTCGCTTGAGTCGTGTGCCAGAGAATAATAGCAATAACAACAGCAATAATAATAATAATAATAATAATAATAATATCACATGCCTAACAGAGGGACAGCAAATTACGGTCACACCAAGCAAGATCATTGACAGATAGGATATACCCCTCTCCACACCAATCCCCTACCACGCACTCGCTCTCTTCAAAAACCGGAACTCCCCCTCGCCCCGCTCGAACCCCTCCCCCACCTCCTCCAGCAGAGAAGTCAATTCCAGCTGCCGTGCGATCTCCCGCACGATCTCAATCGCACCGCGAATCTCCTCCCCGCTGGCGCTGAGGTTCCTGCAGCCGAAGAAGTGACTTTTACAGATGTATATATATGGAATCGAGCAGTTAGTCGGTGCTCATCATATTATTACTGATAATAATAATAATAATAATAATAATAATAATAATAATAATAATAATAATAAATAAAAACTCACCCCTTCGCCTGCGGCCCAACACCATCCGCCAAACAACATGCAAACTCCAACAGAACCGTCTCGCGCCCATCCAAAATGCTCGTCTCAGCCATCAACTCGCCGTAGATGCTCGAGATGGCGAAATAGCTCAGGTCGCCGGCCGAACTCGCGCCCATGGACGCCAACACGCGCTCCGTGTGGTTGGCATAGATCCGGGTGAAGAATTGCTTGCCGCGGGCGTAGCGCGATTCGCTCGTGGGAAAGGCGGAGAGCGTGCGCAGGGGTTTGTCGGCTTGCAGCGCTGCGAGGATCGAGGTGCTGGTGGTGGACAGTGATGCTTGCAGGGCGAGAAGGGGAGTTTATGCCCTGTTCAACTTATTATTATTATTATTATTATTATTATTATTATTATTATTATTAGTATTATTATTATTATTATTATTTCCGGGGTGGGGGAAAGAAAAAAAAAGGGGGGGGGGGGTTCATTTCAGTAAAAGTGGTTTTATGTAGTGCTTTCTACAAATGTGGAAATAAGAATGGGGCTACGCTAAAAGTGACTTACCCGCGGAAACCCAACTAGCACACTCGCCTTCAGACAGCTCTCCCTGATCCGTCGGGCGATCCCAAGCTGCCTTGACCGGGCATCATCGCCAGCTATGTCGTTTTTGCTCTCCCTTCCACCCTCGCCTTCGCAGCGCTGGCTGATATACTTCCAGAGCTCACCCACGGCGGCTTCCTTGTGGAACGCTAGGAGCGAGGCGGTTGCGACGATGAACCAGATGGAATTTATGCCGGTGGGGCTTTGGCTGGGGATCAAGGCGGCGAGGCGGCCAAAGTCAATGGAGAGTTCAGTGTCAGAGCGCGGCGAGCTGGCATCTTGGTTTATGGGCCTGTCATCGGTGTCTGGCGGTGATGGAGATGACGGAGAAGTGGAAGAAAAGGGGCTTGTCAGCGTTGAGTATGATCTGCGTTGATCCTGAGGTGCAGGCAAGCCTTGTAGCCCTGAACTAGCCAGGAGCGGAGAGGGCAAGCGGACGTTGGCCCGTGGTACACCCGCTGGTGACGGGAGCTGGGTCGCTTGCCGATCCGATCCGGATTCTACACCTGATGCCGGGGCAGCAGACGATTCAGCTTCTCCTTGGACCCCTGATCCGGAGATCGAGACGCGGGAATTGCCGAAGGACCCGAGACATCTCCGTGTTCCTTTTCTACTTGCGCTGCTGGTCCCAGCAGCAGCAGCAGCAGCAGCAGTAGTAGTAGTAGTAGCAATAACACTATCCATTCCCACAGCAGCTCCAGCCATCAAGCTGTGATCAGAGCGCAGTGGCATATCTATGGGAACAGAGGTATAGACATGCCCATGTACAGATCCATTAAGAAGATCATTACCCACAGCTGAAATCGTAGTGCCAATTATCACCCTTCTTTGCCTTTGGTCCGTCCCCTCTAGCCGCCGTCCTCTAATGGATACGGCACTGGCATTGGCTATGATCGGATACAGAGGTGTGGACGCAGTCCGAAAGAGAAAGGGACGCATCGTCGAGCTAGCAATGTTACAGAAAGGCCAGACCAAAGACCAGCGCAAAAATACGTATAGGCCCCAGAGCAAAATAGGGAGTCAAGTGAGGAAAACTGGATCGCGCGACGGGGCTTTTCCCCGACGATTCCTTGAAATCGGGGACCGACGTATCCCTCCCCTCCACCCGAGTTGCTGCCTGCGGAGAGAGGGGGCTGTCGATCAGGGGTGGAAGATCGACAGGGAAACTGGACTATATCATAGACATGAAAAGACGGAATAAACAAAAAAGAACATTCACCGAGGGGCTTCGACTGATAGATAGATGTTTTGTAATTTCGATGGCCCGGCTTTTCTTGCGCCCTGTTTGGGATTCGGCTCTTTTGGGAGGGAGCAAACAGGGCAAACGGGGCAAACGGGGTAAACATGCCGAGACATCGTTCGGCTGCTCGGTAATGCCAAGCCCGGCTGATAGTTGGGTATGCAACAATGACTAGGCGCGCAGCAGACGTGACACTGCGATAGCTCTATTGTCTACATAGATATATTGTCTGTTGCATTGATATACATAGATATAACAGATTTGGTATGTATGTACAGTGGTTTAGATGCAGGTTATATACAACGGACGGAAGCAGAACAGGTAGACAGGGGGAAGTTAAAGTAGCGAATAACAAAAAAAAAAGGGGGGGTGAAACTCTAAAAGAGATCTCTATCAAGAAGTGTAAGAGGGGGATAAAAATACACAACGAATTTCTTGATGCAGATGGAGAGAATGTAAGAAGGGGAATGTAGAAGGAAACCTGGAAGCGGAAACCAGGAAACCAGGAAACCAGGGGAGGGAAAGAATGAAGCCGAATCGTCTAGAACACGGATACAGTGTCTCATGCAGCATGATCCGGCCAGTACGACTTGATGATCTCCTTCTTATTCACCTTGCCCATCGTATTGCGATCGATATGGTCAACAAGCTTCAGGACGGTCGGGATCTTGTAGGACGCCATTTCCTCCTTCAACTGTGTACGCAGTGGTGCCAACTCGAGCGGGACTGTCTTTACAGTGGAACAGAGCAAATCAGCATCCAATCCATCACACATAGAATCAACATATGAAGTGAGCAGAAAATGGAAAAAGGGGTTAAAGTAGGTATATAATAAATAAACATACCCCAGGTCTCTGCTTAACAACTGCAGCAACCCTCTGCCCCCATTCCTCATCGTCAAGTCCCACAACGACCACCTCCTGAATAACATCCAACGCAAGCATCTTCCTCTCGACCTCCAGCGCCGAAATCTTGAACCCTCCCGATTTAATAAGATCAACCGACGCCCTTCCCTGAATGAAATATGCACCCGTCCCGTCCCTCTTCGCCACATCACCCGTCTTAAACCACCCGTCCCCCGAAAACTCCCGCACGGTCGCCTCAGGCTTCCCCCAGTACTCCAAAAACACATTCTTCCCCTTAACCTCAATCATGCCCGCCTCCTCGTCGCCATCCGCCAGAACCCTACCCGTATCCCTATCCGTCAACCGCACCTGCACACCCGGCAATGGCCACCCCACGCTCCCATCAATCCTCGTCTCCACATTCAACCCGCAGCTGATCCCCATCCCAATCTCCGTCATCCCATACCTCTCCAACAACACCTGCCCCGTGATCTCCGCGAACTTCGTCTTGATGGGCGTAGGCAGCGCAGCGGAGCCGCTAACGACTAACCGTAACGCCTGCGCGCCGCACCTTGCGTTCGTCTCCAACTCCGTCGATCGGATGTGCGTATCGAAGTAATCAACCAGCCGCGAGTAGACGGTGGGGACGGCGAAGAACATCGTCGACGAACCCCTATCGGCCCATCGTTCCCATACCAGACCCGGGTCGAAGCTGGGGTGCATTTCGACCGTTGCGCCGCTGAGGAGGGAGGCTGTGAGGCCGTTTATGATGCCGTGGACGTGATGGAGGGGTAGGACGTGGATGAGGTGGTCGGACGGTGTATATTGCCATGCCTGGGCCAGACAGGTGGACTGGAAGGTTATGTTTTTGTGGGTTGTGACGCAGCCTTTGGGGTTTGAGGTTGTTCCAGATGTGTAGATAATCAACGCTCGTCGGCACTGGGAGAAGGGGGCGTGGAAGGGTGGGAGAGATGGTGGGGGGTTGGACTCGGTGCATGGGGTAAGGTTGAAGAACGGGATGTGCGGGGTGGCTTTTTGGAGGGCTGCTTTTAGGTGGGCGAACGATGGATGCAGGATGATCAGGGATGGCTCTGAGTCTCTGATGGTATATATGAGTTCCTTTGGCGGGTGGGTTGTGCCTGTATATTATTTTGCTTAAGGGTTGGAATGAAGAATGTATACACATGGACATTGTGGAATAGATAGCAGAAACGTACACAATGGCACGCATACGCCGCCAGCAGCCCATACCGCCCATTGACACACCACATAGTCATATCCCGCAGGCGTCAGAAATGCAATGCGTCTCTCATCCAAATCTCCCTCGCGCTCAGGTTCCAACGTCTCCAGAATCAGCTTCTTGAAGGCGGAAACATCCGCCAGGAGCTGTGTGTACGTGAAGCTCTGACCTTTTGTCCTATCGACAACTGCGATTTTGGCAGCATCTTTGCATGCATGGGTCTGCGCAGCCACAAAGAGAGGCAGCGAGGGTATAGAGGAAAGCGCCAATAGTTGGTCCCTTCTTTTAGAAAGCAGCAGCTCTTGTCGCTGGCGGTTTCGGAAGAATTGGAATGTGAAGTAGGGTATTGAGAAAGCTGCAGCGGCCGAGAAGGAGATGAGAGCCCAGTCCTGCTGACGATATATTGAGAAAGTGACTAGGCACATTCTTCTTATTTAAAGAATACTGTCGTTGTTGTCGAATGTGTCTGTCTACCGTAGCCCTGGGAGTTGACGGTCGTCAGTCACCTTCTTTTTGACCGTGACCCGTTGCCCAACGCTCTTCGTTCGTCTGAAGAGGAATCCACTTTGTTGTCCGTCTTCAAGATGTTGGGAAGGCAAAAATAAATATGAAGTTACGTTATGTGTAACTTGTGAATTATTATTTTTGAGGTTCTTGCGCATTTTGTCTGGTTTTTGAATGTTTTTTTTTTTTTTCTTTTTGAATGTGCCACCGATGAAGTTGCCGGCGGCGATTGTTTGCTAAGAGTTCTTAGCTTGAGAGTCTCAGCCGCGGTTCCGTCATTAAATGGAGAATAGAAATTATCCATGGATCGAATGGATCTTTGCCAGATTTGTTCGGTGCGCAGGAATAATTCCCGGCGAGTTTGATGACAGTATCGGATGGCTGCAGTGGGGGTGGAAGGACGCAAGAACAGATCGTCATCATCTCCATCTTTCATCTCCATTCCAAGCTCCAGCTCCATCCGTCACGGGCCATCCGTCATTCAGCACAGCATTGTTGCGTCGCACTGGCACGCACTGTTCGTCTGGCAACAACCAGCCTCAGACAGAGAGGCCAGCCCCAGGACAAAGAGCGGCAGGCAGAAGAGCGTCAAAAACGGTATCCCTCCAGCCTCTTGGACTTCCTCAATTCAGCATCACCTGCAGAACTCCGATATGGCCAAGGTCAGTTTTTGTGGTACAGTGACAATTTCAAGGCTGCTAGGGCCGGCGGAGCGGCAGATGGGCTTGGGAGCCTGCCGCAGAGGCTGCAAAGTGGGGTTTTGGGTGGGCAAGACACTACCAGCTCCGAGGGTCAGATACAATGGAAAATTTGGAAAAATAGGGGGGCTTGAATTGCCGAGTGATTGGCCAGTGGTTTGGTCTGGAAAAGTGACCATTGGCAGCAACCGCAGAGAGGATCATCCCAACAGCGTCCCTCCAAGAGTGAGTGGTCCTGGTGGTTGATAACGTAATCAACCATCCAACGCCCGTTTACACCCAACGCCCGCTCAAATCTTCATTTTTCATTCATCTTTAACCACCCATAACATGCACCACGAAGCAGTTATACAAGCCGCGATTGATGATTTGAACGCGCAATTAGCGCCTAATTACACTAAAACTGCCAAAAAATATGGAATCAGCTGATATACATTGTCAAGGCGTTATAGAGGCATTCAAATGTCAAGAAAGGAAGCAAGCTCTATCCACTGCAAAGCTCTCACTGATTCGCAAGAAAAACAGCACCTTTTTCATATCAATCAATTGGCAGATCGCAGTTTCCCTTGTACGCCCCAAATCCTTCATAATCTCATTGTTGAGATTCTAAAGGCACCTATTGAAGTCAACTGGGTGGCTCGGTTCTGTGAGCGCCACAAGGATGTGATCAAGTCGCTCTACCTGCGAAATATTGACCAAAAATGCAAGATTGCAGACAATTCTGCATACTTCAAGCATTATTTTGATCTTGTAATAGATTTCTTTCTTATACTGCTTTTTTAATTCTCATCTTGCTAATTTATCTTAATTTTTCAGCTGCAGGCAAAAATCATGAAATACAACCTTGAACCTGTGAATATCTACAACTTTGATGAGAAAGGATTCCTATTAGGATTCATTCACACCCTCAAACATATTGTATTGATTAATTCGCTCAAATCGGGCTGTATGATAGGTGCCAGCCAGGATGGCAGTCGAGAATTCATAACACTACTTGCCTCAATTTGCGCAGATGGAACTTCGCTCCCACCTGCTCTCATATATCAAGGGGAATCAAGAGATATGCAAGATACTTGGCTTGAAGATTTTGATAGTGAAAAGGATCAGGCCTACTTCACTGCTTCAGAAAATGGGTGGAGCAATGATGAATATGGGTTAACATGGTTAAAGAAGATCTTGAACCTCTTACAAAAAAGAAGGCAGGCTGTGGATATAAACTTCTTATATTGGATGGCCACTCATCCCATGTTAATATGGCATTCATCAATTACGCAGATTGGAATTGAATTCTACTCACTGTCTTTCCTCCTCATTCTACACACCAATTACAGCCGCTAGATGTTGGGATATTTGGACCATTGGGTAAATCATATTCCAAACAACTGAATGAATGAATGAGAACTGGAATGGGATTCATACGCACTACAAAGAGGTCTTTTTGGCAGCTTTTTGACACTGTGGAAGGAGGCAGTTACATCTTCAAATATTGAAGCTGCATTTGCTGCTACTGGCCTACATCCATTCAATCCGGAACACATTCTTAAAAAGCTTCAAATATGACCTTGCACCCCCCCCTGATGCAATATATCAACCAAGAACACCTACTTCTATTGTTGGCCTGTGGAAATTGGTGAAGCAAGTCAAGCAACAGCAGCATCAAATATCTAATGATCTCAACTGGGTGATCCGTGCAGGGGAAAATCTTGCTCTTGATAAAGAGGTTCTTTTAATAGAGAATCAGCAGCTTCAAAAAGCTCTTAATCAAGAGAGGAGACATTGCAAGTGTGGCAGGGCAATGGGGTTGCTAGATCCCTTGAATCCATCATTGACACAGTTCTTCTCACCAGCAAAGGTGCAGAGCATCTGTGAGAATTTGGCGGCCTCAGAGGTTGCCAAAAAGGATGAGCAAGCTTGTAAGGAGGATGCAAAGCTGCAATACACTATTCTTAAGGAACAGAAGGAGGCAGATATCATCCAGCAGAGGATGGAGTGGGAGGCAGCTCACCAGGCCACAAAACAGCAAAAGGAAATGGATAAGGCCGCAAGAGCTGCTCAACGGCAGATTGACAAGGAGCTTAGAGATGAGAAAAAGGCTCAGGAGCAAAAAGAAAAGGAAGAATGAGCTGCTGTACAGCTACAATCATGATTGAATAAGAAGATGATTGAAGAATTCAAAAATCACCTTACTAATCAGGAAAGTAGACCATTGATTTCGCAAAGAGTGGCTAAATCGCGTTTTCAGAGCCCTGCCAGGGTGCCCACAGATCCACTGCCAGAGGGATATGATGATATTGCAATCTCTACTGGTTTAATGACTGCTTGCTCGCTGAATCTGCCTCCACCCAAGATTTCACATTCCAGGCGAGTTATTAAGCCAAACAAACATTTACTGAATTAGCTATATATTTTTATATGTAATTTTCTATATATATTTTCATCCTATAATATATCATCTTAAAATCTAATTGCGTTGTTGAAATAATGTTGAAAATATTTCATCATAGTGATGGCGAAATGGCAGGCGTTGGGTGTAAACGGGCGTTGGGTGGTGGATTACGTTACCTTGCTGATGCTTCGTGATGGTTCGTAAGGAACAGAGCCAGCGAAAGCCACCATATAACAATCTAAACAAAAACAACATTATCAACGAATCCCGGCATCCCTACGATCAACCAGCATTATGCTGCATTCTTCCAGGTTCTCCTGTCCCCAACTAAGCCAGATTCGCACACTCTCCCGCTGCTGTCAGCACAACCCGCGCAGAATCTACTCCACCCCAGCTCCAAACAGACCACCCAACTTCCTACCGTAAATTCGTATCGAGCTACGATTTGATCAAGGGTTGTTCTGCTCTAGGCTTTTCTTCTTTGGTCTCTTGCTACCACTCAACATGCGGGGTTGGGGCTGCAACAGACCAACATCCATCGACCAAAACTCTACTGCTTTTATCTACATGGATGCAGAAATGTCCAGGGTATGAAAACAAATAAAAACAAGAATAAGATCTGTTTTCGGCGCCTAAAGTAAAGGGGATCGTTTTTTTTTTTTTATCGCGCGGGGTTGAAGAGTCGAGACCTTGGACTAGATGGGGGCTTCAATGTTGCATGCATGATTGATGTTTTTAATTGTATCTGAGTTCTCTTGATTCACGTTTAAATACTTTGCATTCACCCGTCCCACGCCCAGTTCCCACTGAAACTGTCGGAATTTATCTTTCCGAAGCTGGCTTACTGGCAGGCGTCATTTCACTCTTCAGTTTCTCATATTCAGCTGGTGACCCGACGACATTATAACCATCTTTCCATCATGGCTGATACTAAGCACATCGAAAGCGGCACCGTCATCGCTGCAGACACCAGCAAAGAGGCCGTTGTCAACAGCGAGGGCGTATTTCCAGAGAAGGGCGCTGCTGAGAACCGAGACTATGCTGGTGCTGTTGCAAAGACTGATCCAGTTGAGATCCGCCTGGTGCGGAAGCTGGATTATCGGATCATGGTATAATTATATATTTGCATTTACATTTACACTTACACTCATATTAATCTCTATTTATATTCATTTCTGGTCTTATATCGAGATCTAATACTCGTCCATCTATACAATTACAGCCAATCCTGGTCGTCATGTACTTCCTCAATTATATCGACAGAAACACTCTCGCCCAAGCACGGCTGGACGACGTCGAAAAGGAGCTGGGCATGGAGGGAGAATTCCAGTTTAACACCACCATCTCCATCCTCTTCGTCGGTTATGTTTTGATGCAGATTCCCAGCAATATGTTGATTACAAGAGTCTCGCCAAGTATGTATATGAGCAGCTGGATGGTGGTCTGGTCAATCGTTTCAGGTCAGTGATACCCTAAAATTAGGACGAAGAATTGGAGGAAAATCTCGAATACGGCGATTGAATTGAATTAAACCGAACCCTTTTATTAGCATGCACTTCATTGGTCCAGTCCTACGCTGGTATGGTCGTGTGTCGCTTTTTGCTGGGTGTGACCGAGGCGCCAGTATGTTACATGTCCCTCCATACAAGTATACGGATTTATAGCAAAATTACACGCGGAGGTTGAAGAGGTCTAACGAGAACCATGTAGTTCTATCCCGGGGCAACATATCTTCTGGCCATCTTTTATACTAGGAAAGGTTATTCATCCCCAGTTCTCCCTTGTGCCTACCAGACACCAAACCTCTAATGCAAATTTGCCAACCAGAGGTCGCTTCTCGAATAGCTGTCCTGTACTGTGCCCAGATCCTCGCAACAGGGTTCGCCGGCCTGATTGCTGCAGGAGTCTTCAAAGGCATGGACGATGCGCGGGGCCTGTCCGGATGGAGATGGTAAGTTCCTGAAACATACACACATACCCTCCCGCCCTCCCACCCCCCCTGTTTTTTTCTTTTTTCTTTTTTCTTTTCGGTATATCTCTCATACCTAAGAAGCCAATCCAGCTAAGGCTGCTTCTTTCCTTCCCTTGTTCGCTAGGCTGTTTATCATCGAGGGCTGCATCACCACCGCAGTCGCACTGATAGGCTTCTGGCTCCTACCAGATACGCCCCTTACTACCCGCTGGCTCAAACCCGATGAACGTCAACTCGCCCATGCCAGAATCGAACGGGACAAGATGGGCCAGATGGGCGAAGAGAGCTCTGTAATGGAAGGCCTGCGCCAGGCAGCCAAGGACAAACGAACATGGATTTTCAGTCTGATGCAGAATTTCCACCTGGCTGCTTGCGGCTTCAATAGCTATTTCCCAACGTAGGTTGTATTCGGCATGTTCCCCTTGAACAACATGCCCTCCATGAGTTTCAAGAAACCACAATTCTAACCCAAGAAACCCCACGCACCAGCGTCGTGAGAACTCTTGGGTTCCCCAAAACTGAAACCCTCCTCCTAACCTGTCCCCCCTTCATCTTCGCCGCCTGCTCCGCAATCTTCATGGGCTGGTCCTCCGGCCACTACCACGAGCGCACCTGGCACATAACCATTGGCCTTTTCGTTGCCGTCGTGGGCTTCGTCATCGCCTGTACAACCTTGAACACTGCAGGGCGCTATATCGCCTGCTTCATATTCCCCGTAGGTGCCTACTCAGTCAATTCCGTGATTATCGGGTGGGTGTCGTCGACGTTGTCACAGACGCGGGAGAAGCGGGCGGTTGTGTTGGCTATGCATAATGTCGCGGGGCAGATTGGGTATATATATGGTGCGTATATATGGCCGAATTATGATAAGCCGAGGTTTGCCATTGGCTTTGGGGTTTCGGCTGGGCTTGCGTTGGGGGCCATTGGGTGTGCGTGGTGGATGAGAGTGATTTTGCAGAAGGAGAACAGGAGGTTGAAGGAGAGCGGCGGGGGTGATGAGATTAATTATTATGGGTATTGAGTTGGGGGATTGTTGTGGATGTATTTTATTTTCGCCATTTGGTAAAGGTAAAATGTATGTATGCTGGATATTTCATTTCAGACTTTATGGGCAACTTGATAGGTATGGGTGTGGTGGTTGTGATTATGGAGGTTGTGTTTGATTAATAGGGGTTCTTCCCACAACCAATTATATGCTCCCATCCGTCATTTGGCTCCTGATATGAATGGTCATTGTGTGATCGAGCCAATTAAATCTTGTAATAGAGCAGAAAAGTACTCCGTACGCCCCATGGTTGATTAGCGGAGGCTGGAAGTAATTGAATGTTGATTGATTACATGCGTATTCTCCTTTCTCCTCCCAACAAAAAGAAATATCCCAACAAAGGAAAAAGGGTTGCTTGTTTCTCACATCTATTATCATACTTAGTTACTGCATATAAATGCATGCGCATCATCTAGGTTCCGAAATTGAGTCAAAAGAAAACTTCAAATTTCACCAATTCAACTATATAAGATCAAACACTGCTGTCACTGCTGCTGCTTGATTCCCAAGGGTAACCAGTAATAAGTGTGCAGTGGAAGAAATGAGAAAGCGCCAAGGGTAAGCAAGGCTTTAAGGACCCCCCCTCTAAAATGCAACACTCCTAATTACCAATCACCCCCACCACAGCGTTAGTTACAGGTGGGGCCGGGAGAGATTAGGAGGAATTAGAAGGGTTGGATTAGGGTGGTGTTATTAGGAATTAGGATTAATAGGGGGTTTGCCCGTTACGGGTCTCTGCATAGGTATGGTATGGATATAGTGGGTGTGTTTTAATGGGGAGCACTGCGTTGACTAGTTAGTTAGCAACTAATTAACTAGTCAACTATCCTGGTCCGCCCAAACGACTAGGATAGACCCCTCAGCTCCAACCTCCAACCTCCAACCTCTCCAACCTCCAACACAACGCCCGCAATCTCTCCTCTAGAGCCGACGGGCTCCATAGGTGATCGCTCAGATTCCCTGCTGCGGCTGTTGTCAGCTGTACAGCTCATCACTGCTTTTTGCCCCATTTTCTAGACTTGTTTGTTTTTGCTTCCTGACGTTTCCCGCAAACTAGCCATCCCTCATTTGCTGGTTTTATTTCAGCATGCTTCAGCACAAAACAGGTTCTCATAAACACATCTCAAACGTACGCAAGGATCTTCCTTTTCAAAAGGAAAAGGGATAAACACTGGACACTAGAGAAGCACACTCACTCGGCACCTCTTAAACCCCTCAAATAAACAGCCAATTAACGCCCGACCGATCAAAGTACTCAGCCCAATCCCCATCCTCCTGACTCTCACGCCCCCAAATAGCATCCAACACCCGCAACGCGCCACGGATATTTACCGTCCAGAACCCGCGCCACATCTGATCTAGGAAATCGCGAATCCACGCACGTTGCTCCGGACACCGGCACTCCGCCCCGGCTATGAAAGTCGGCCACAGAAGACTCTTAAACAGCTCAGAGGAGGGCTGGATGTGTGAGAGGTGGTTCAGCACCTCTGTGACCTGTTCGGGGAGGAAAGGGCATTCGTCCGCCGACGGATGAAGGAGGATCCGTGTTGCGTAGAGGGTTATGGCGATCTTATAAGCAGAGGCGACGTGGAAGAGCGCTTCGGTGGATGAATTGTCTACTTTTGAAGAGGGAATGGAAAGGGCTGTCATTGTCGCCTGGGGTGGATTCCAATAATGGGACTCCTCAGGGCTTGATGGTGCTGGTGGTGCTGGTGGGGGAAGGCTGTCGAGGTAGTGGTATTGGGAGGTTGGAAGTTCTGTCGTATTTGTGCCAATGGACTGCTGCATCTCCCGTGCCCACTGCCTTGGGTCAAAGGCATTGATCTGAGAGAGGACTGTGTAGATGCCCGCTATTGGTGCTGGAATGCGCAGGGATGAGTCTGCATGGCGAAGGGACGAGATGAAGAGGATGATGCGCAGTAGGGGACCTGGACACCCGAGCCAGACGTTTTTTTCCGTGTCCGAAAGGAGGCTTGGTGATTTTGTCAGTTGGGATGACAATGGTTCCGACCAAGTTCCGGATGGGGTCAATGTTGAACCCATGATGTCAAAACTGGTGGAATATTGTGTTAGCAGAATTTGACATCCCTGGACGAAAAATGGCTCTTATCTATACATACGTCATACATGTTCCTGCCAGGAACATGTTGAAACTATCATAAACCATCCCAGGAAATGTTGACAATTCATCCTCTTTACCCGCAAGGTGTCTTCCAAAACGAGTCTTAAGCATCTTCTTTGCGCCTTCAACATGCAATTTCCAAGTACCACGGCCCGATTCTACCATATCAAGAACCATAAGGAGAAGTGCGGAAGCAATTGTCGCTTCATCTCCTCTCTTATTGGGATTCGACAGGTTTTCCTCCAGCTCACGAAGCGCCCGTTGCTTGAGAAGCAGCAAATGCTGATATGCAACTCTCACTTTTGGGTTAGGCGAGTGCATAAATTCTTCGCCACTATCAAATGAGCTTTTCTGCCTTAAGGACGTGCTGTCGAATGCCGATTGACCAGAGTACTGAAGGACATGCAGGTTGTGGCACGCCGCAATTGCAGCCATTGCAGCACAAAGACCGGGACAAGTATTAATCATCCGAAGAAGGAGGCGATATGGGTTTCTGTGGGGGATCTCGAACAGCACCATCAGTGCACAGAATTTACGATCATCTCACACCTTGTCAGCAATGGCACTGTGTTGACGCTTAGCCTTTCACCCTTGGGCGGACTCACAATATGCCAAGTAGTATCGCGATATGCTGTCCAAGCCCTGGAACAGCGGATCTACCAGGTTCAAAGAGATAGTAGTAAGATGGTCATCCACTGCATATATGCATTCATCATTACGGCTCTGCTTTCCCGAATTCGAGCATGAGAGTGTCATTCCATCCTGTTGGTATTCTTCTACATTGGAATCTGAGGTATGGACGGGCTCTGGATACCCGGGTTGTAAGGATACCAGACTACCCGACATTCCGCAGTGATTGTTTTGCGCCGAGCCTAAGACGCTAGAGGACAAACTTCTCGCCCGCTGGGATCTCTCCGGCTCAACAGCACCCCGCACCCCTGAAGCAGACTGACAGTTCTTCCCCGCAACATCACCGAAGGTCAAGCCCATCATCTTCCCCCGACTGGCAACGCCCTGCACCCACGTAAATGGCTTCTTGTACCCTAAGCATGTCTTCTTGGCTCTATGGCATTTTTTGCAAGTTGGAAGCAACCGATCACAGATAACCCGTCGTCGTCGACAGGTATAACACGACTCGTTAGAAAATTTAAGGCCATCGTCGGAAGTTTGTGGCGACGTGGGCAGAGCAGCTGAACGTGAAGGAAGAGGCATGCTGCCTCTACAAGCGACTACATTCTCGCCCATCAAATCCAAATCCAGTCAACAATAATAGTTAACCTTCAAAATACTGGCATCCAGGAAGGTTTCCCTTAAGAAGCAGAATCAAAACAGCTGATCATTTGAGGGAGATAAAACAGATCTGGTTTTGCGATGGAATGATGGCCGAGGCATATTTTATGGATCCACTGCTTAATAATCGGTTTGGTCCCGCGATGAAAACGTGGATACCCTATCAGCAACTCCATAATAATAGCCAAACAGCTACGGCAAACCCACTAAAGTAGTAGAACTACGCAGAAATACTCAGTTTCACGTCCCGACTGTGTCTTGGCTTCCTCTTCAGGACTAGCCCCATTTGCCGCCGGTGGCTCGTTACTCTTCAACCGCAAGAGCCTCTCAGGGGTTCTAAAAGGAGCCTTCGGGCTTGGCTCCAAAGCTTGGTTACAAAATGATGGGTCGCCCTCTCAGCTTGGCTTCCCTTTTAGGCACTATATCGGGACCCATCGACATTTGTCAGAGCTTTCATCTGAGCCTCCTTTTCAGGATTTCTATTTGACGTGCTTTTTCGCCTTTCCACTGCTATCCCATGCCAAATTGATATTAATAGGCCATACCGCCGTTGCGAGCATGGAAATTTCATCAACCCTTGGGAAATCTCTCAATCGTTCAGTTGTTACATTCGTATGGTCTAGATATTCTCTGGTCTTGAGCATTTACAACAATGCCTCCAAAAGGGTCGGTATTGTCCCGGATTCCCAGTCACAATGAACGACCGCGCAATGCTACCGAACGGGAAGATGATCTGGAGTCGCATGTCCATCCGACTCAGCAGGACGAGGACGCATTGGCAAGTTTGCACCAATGTCTCACGCAGTACTCTTACCACGAACCCATCGAATATGCAGAGCCGCACTCAACTCTTGAAAAATATCTCCGAGAACACCGGGTGAAAGATGTATGCGACAGACCCTTTAGCCGACTCGGGATTTGTTTTAAGAATGTGACCACCTGGGGTGTCCGAAACGAGCATTCGCAGGTGAAGACTTTAGCTAGGGCAATTTGGCGGACGGCAACGTTTCAGGACGTGTATGAGTGGACCATCAAAAGATGGATTGCTCCCCCAAAACTTGAAAATAGGAGACCCTTGATCAATGATTTTTCAGGGGTTGTCCGTAGCGGGGAGATTATGCTGTATATACCGCACCTTATCTCATATTTAAGATGCTCAATTATAATGAGTCCACTAATTGACTTGTTGTTTTGTTTTAAAGGGTATTGGGCCGCCCTGGCGCTGGGTGCTCGACATTTTTGCGAACCGTAGCCAATTACCACTCCTCCTTTTTGGGTGTGACTGGATCCATTGACTATTCCGGGCTTAAACCAGAAGACATGTCAAAACATTTTAGAGGGGAAGTTGCTTACACCCCAGAAGAGGATATCCACTTTCCCACTTTAACTGTACGTCAAACACTGGAATTTGCATTGGAGAGCAAGACTCCAAAAAGGCTACGGCATAGAATTCCTGAGATCTTGGAAATCTACGGTCGAGTTTTCGGCATATCCCATGTCATGGACACGCTCGTTGGGAACGAATATATCCGTGGTGTTTCCGGTGGTGAACGGAAACGAATTT